ATTCTTGCTGTCTTGTTCTAGAGACAATTTTAGTGAAATGAAGTGAGTTTCTAAATAAAGCAGAAACATTTGACAAATAAGCATTGCAAAATAGTACAATTATATCACTTCAAAGGGCATGGGAAGGAATCCAAACCTGCTTTGAACTGGTTAACATGTATCACTCACCAGCTAACATTGTCAGTTATTTTCAGACTGATATTTCTTAAACTGAAGGTTTAGAACAAGCTATTGAGTATTTTTATATCTCCCTATTCAGTTAAAAAAACAAAAAGCATGTTTAATTACATGTATCAAATATTCAATAGTCCTGTTAGCTTAATGGAGTGTTTGGGGGATTTTTTTTGGCTCTGTTTGGAAAGCCTTGATTCTTGCAGACCTTTTAGGCTGTGTGAAAGAAAATGGTAATCTCTTTTTAGCTGTGATGGCGTGAGACTCTTCAAAGCTGTTGAGAAACTGTCAGGCATGGATTGCTAAAGGGCAGCCACTGTGGTCAGCTCAGAAGTGGCCCTCGACCTGCTGCTACAGAACCATTACATTCCCGTGCTATAGGAGGGCCCTACGGGCACGTTTCCAGTGCCCCAGGTGATTAAAGAGTTGCTGTATCTTTGCCCTGAATCTAAGTCAGAAACTAAGACTACATGTCACAAGTAGGGATGTTTGATTTATAGTCAAATCCAGAGAACCACGAAAAGAAAAGTTTCCTTTTACTCTTCTCCTTAAAAAAAAATTCGCTTATTGCAAATTTTGCTAGTGAGCATCAGCCTTCAGGAATTACGGAGGTCAATGCTAACATTTCTATTTAATTCTTATATTAAAATGATGCAATTTTTCAAGACGAAAAACAGTAAACTAAAAAGGTTACATGGTGATTAATTAGTAACGTTCAAATAGCCAGTGAAGGAGAACAGAAAGAGCTCTGTGAGGGGCATTTTCCTTACTCTTTATTAGAGGCAGTTTTTACCGGTGCTGCTGCAGTTATTTTTCCAGATGATGTGCCCAGGATGGTTTGTGCTCATTGCGGATCTGACTTGAGAAGAGAAAACTGAATCTGAAGAGAAACTTCTGCAGGGTGTGGCGTGTGCAGGCAGTGGAACCAGCGTATTTTTAAGCTGTGATTTTACGGGTGTGAGGAATTAGATGTTTAGTGTGGAGCGGTGGGAATGGCTTCGGAAGAGTCTCTGGGCTTGGGGTTTTGTTTTCACTGGGGTTGATGGCCGGGTGCCTTCTTCCTCTCCTACGCTGCACTGTGCCTGTTGCCAAAGAGCAAGTGGCGCCCAACTGGCATTTAGCTTCCTCCAGCAGCACAAAGTTAATTTTTAGTTGTGTTTTATGTTGTTTTTTTCACTTGTCCTTCTTGTACTTATTCATCTGTTGTAATCGCGGCTGTCTTTGTCTAGTTGGCATTTGTTAAAGGGCAAGTGAGAAACCCCCAGTGGTACTTGTTCTTGGTCAAATGTCCGTACTTCTGGTGAAATGGTGCTTCTTTTTATGCTCTGGAGGAGGTGGTGGATTGTTTTTCAAAGGGTTTCTGGCCCCTTTGTAGGAAAGAACTAAATCTCTGAGTTTGGGGTGGAGTTCGAGGCCTTGCTGCCGCTGTTGTAAATTTGAGAAGAACAGGCAGGATCCAAAACGCAAACCAGCACCTGCCTTCAGGGGGGGTACAGGGCGGAAATGCTTTTCGGCTTCAGGCAGAGAGGGAGGTGTTTGTGGGCATGCAAGGGCTGAGTGCTTTCCACTCCGGTGCGCTGCCATAACCCACGGGATCTGAACTGCCTGGCTGTGGGCTTTTTTGTGGTTTGGTTTTGCTTTTAAATGTGGCTTTAGACCCTGAGGATGCTGCCTTTAAAAAGGTTCTTGAATTCTGAGTTTCATTCCCTCGTTTATGTTGGTCTTTCCTTTCTAGTTCCAGAATAGATGGTGCTGCATCTGGCAAAAAATGCTTGTCCTTTAATTTCTGTGCAGTTCAATACCAGCTTTTCAATTCAGCTCTACTGGAATCGATTGAAAAAGAGATATTAATGTGGTGTTTATTCAGATTTACATGTTTTAAAGAGAAAAGCTGGCAATGCAATCACTTCTGCTCTCCTTACTCTTTCACAATAGTTCTTCCCTCTTTATTACAGTGCCTTACGCCATAGATAGCCCCGTGGGTTTCAGTAACACTGCTTAGGGAATTGAATACCACAGCACTAGCTGAAATGTTAGAAACAAACAGTGCTTTTAAAAAGTGCAGCATTTGGCAAAATGCTTATAGTTTGTACATGTATCAAACATTAATTGTTTTGTTTATTTATGAATCACTTTAAATTATTATTATTGGTGAGAATAAGGCTGGTGCTTTTTATGGTACCTGGTGTCACATTTGGGATCCTATTGATTAAATTCTACACAACCTTGAAAAACAATTTTTATACTGCCAAATATAGCTTGAATTTGTTAAGGTTTTTTATGAAAAGTATCTCTCAAATTTTATCAGTTCCACCAGGGGCAATCACATGGACTTGCCTTGTGCACACTTGAATTAGTGATGAGACCTGCTCGATATTGCAGGCACATGTAAAGTGTTTCTGTTAAAATTGCTTTATTTCCCTTGAGTGTCTTAATAGGAATTAAAAAGCCCTGAAGGGGATTTTTTTTTATAAGTTTTTTTTCAAAAGTGGAGAAAGACTACAAGAGCATATTAGGAAAGAGACATTTTTGGGTTGTTTTAAACTGTCCTTGTGCCTTCTTCCCTGACAGAGCTGGACAAGATCATCCTGTGTGTTGCAGCTGTGTAGCCTGTACATGTCCTTTCTGCGCTTTGCTGCCCTTGTGGACAAGCTCTGGTTCAGGTCCTATGCCCATTCCTGCAGTCTGTGTGAAAAACATAAGCAGCAAAGGAAGAAAAATTTATTTTCCCGTTTAGAAAATACTAGATTGAAGTAGAAAATGTGTTTCATTTTAGGTAATGGGTATAACGTTAATATTGCAATTCTCTTTTTAAAATCTAGAGAAACACTGTATCTGTGCTTTGTCCTGGATTTATCCAGGCTTTTCATTAACAAGATGTCATTTTAAGAATGGCATTTAAATGAAGATCAGCACAAGCAAACCCAAATCATGTCATAGTTTAGAGGAGACTGACCCTGCAAGTGTCTAGAAAATCCATGTGAAGCAATTTTTTTATCTTCATTCAGTGAATTTTTCTTGATCTTGCTGTTGATGGTGAAGGCTGAGCTTGAGTTTCTCCATGAACGCATGAAGTTGATGAAGAAGTTGTCTTTCGTTTCTTTTTTTGTTTTTACTCCACCTACAGCACTCCTCTGCCCCATCTCTACTTAGAAGTGTTTCCTTGTAGGGCCTTGTAAAATTAGCTTGAACATTGATTGACATCCCCTCTACTGTCTGTGTTAAGCTTGACTCTTGTCTGGCTCCATCCATTTCTCTTCAGGAAATTGTTTGAATTTCTTTAATAACAAAGCTTTTTGGTACAAGACACGGACATAGCTGCTAATATTCTCAGGCCCTCTGATATAGGGCTAGAAGTGTTTTAAAACTTGTCCAGCCACCTTTTTGATTGTCAGCTAACAGCAATGGCCAGAGCACTGGTTTGGTTATATCCATGTGGAACTACGCAATAGAATTCTCACTGCTTCTTTTGTCACCTTATACTTTAAGTAATATACAAGTTTCCTGTGTAGCTACATACCAAAAATACAGAGCTTATATGCTCTGTCCCACGAGCAGAAAGCTGGGCTTTCTTCTTGAGCTCAGCAGTGAAACTGGTATTGCCAGAGCTCTCAACCCTACAGCAGAAATTCACATCTGCTGCAGGGCCATTGTTTTGGCTGGTGGGCACTAACTAATAGTTACAACTAATAGTTGTAGTCTGCAGCTGATCCAGACTGTGACAAAACTGTTACAGAGTGTAATAAGTGGAGGGTTTTGTTGTTGTTGTTTAGGGGGGGTTGGGGGCTTCTCCCCCCGCCCCGTAACACACAAGGATCAAATAGTGACTTCACTGATACGCTGCATATGTCTCTGGATATGTGACTTCCCATCGCCCATGCGAATAGTCACCAACATGATTTCAGGCTATAGAATTGGCTTTCATATGGGAATATTATCAATGTATCAAGCATTTTTTCTTGGGGAAACAAGATGATCTGCCATCACCCATCTTTCTTTACCAAAGGCTATTTCTGTGACCACTATAACATTGCTTAGGACTTAATTCTCTTTAATCAGCTGTACTGTCTTAACCACAGCAGAAACGGCAATTGTAGCTCAAAACAGTCCTCAAAACGGGGCTGGCATGTGAACAAGATTCTTAAGTTTGCGGTCATTCAGCTGGATAAATGTGGAACTACTTAAGTACCAAGTGTGTTATTTTGGTCCCTGCTGACAGGGGAGTTTTTAGGAAACAGAAGTCTTTCAAGTGAAATCAAGAGTTAGATAGTTCAAAGGTGGCAGAAGTTCATTCTGGTCATAAATGAACATGATTGGTACAAAGACGTCACAGCTTTCATGGGAATTCCGGGGTTGGACTCATAGTTGCGAACAATGTGGTTTTTAATGAGTGGAATCGTGGTCTTTGAGTATATGTAATGTAAGCAATGTAATTAATCTCTGAAATGTGCTGGAGACAGCCTGTTTATAAACTAGGTGGACTCACAGATTAGTGTTTAGATTTGTGACACCTTCAAATTTTAGCAGAAGACTTTGGAGGAAGAGCAAAGTTTTTGAGGCATAGCTCACCGCTGTTTAAGCTTTATGCTTTAGAAGATTGTGTTGACTGGGCTGCTTAAGTGCTTGCTGTCTTTAGGACTTGATTTGTCCTGTGCAAAAGGAGGCCTGAGGCAATAGCTGCTCTGGAAACTAATTTATGAAAAAGGCTCTGTTTGGAGGAGATTATATGCTTCTCATCTCTGCAAGGTGCCCTGCTCTTTTCATTAGTTGGTACTTCTCTAGGAGACATTCCTCTCATGCTTTTGTTCTATCTTTTTTCTTTCCACAACATGAAAGAAAATCCTCTGTTTCGTGTGCTCCACAGAGTTGCTTTCATCCTTCAGAGGGATGTTACTTTGCGACGTAATCGCCTGTACGAGCTTGCTTTCGAGCTGTAAGGCTGACTTGTTTTTACTGGCAGGGTTGGGATGTTTGCACATTTACCACATGCCATTGATTGATAACAGGAATGAAGTAAATAACTGAAGGGTTTCACTTGTTTTCTTCTTTCATTCTTCTGTTTCTCACAGGTTCATTGCTAAACCATGTGCCTTAGGCCTTAAAGTCCAAGCCAACGGACCACAGAAAGCTCAACCTAATGCTATCCTGGAAAAAGTTTTCACAGCTATTACAAAGGTAGAATATTTAACTAAAATATTTAACTTCTGAAGTGGGATATGGTGCTATGAACTCTGTCTGAACAAAACAAAGCTAAGTGCTAAATGCAGTGCTACATTTTTACAGCCAGAATCAGAACATGCACATGTCAGGGTTGTCATTGTCATGCCAGCTTGAGCAGTTGTGCCTTCTTTTTGTGATGTCTCCTGTAAGCTTTTAAGCAAAAGAGTTGTTACAGAAACATTTTGTAGGTGCCATATGGCCACCGACTTTTCCTGCTTTTTATCTTTTATAAATTTGCACTGAATCATTGTTGGGTGTTTTTGTTATTTTATTTTTTAAAAATAGAGTGAATTGTGAGCCAGTAAGATTGGTCTTACTGTATTTTCCATGAAGGTTCAAAGCTGTTCTAGAGGAACAGCCTGAGCACAGGATGCGGGTGACTTGCTGGTGTCCAAACTGTTTATGTTGCAATGAATATCGTTTGAAATTGGGGGCTGGGGGAAAGCCAAGCAAGTAGGAGGAACTGGTTGAATAATGTTTTAGAGCTTGCAGATTTTATTTGTTTTAATACAATACAAGTTTTTCCCACACTACCTGTGACTCTGTCTCTACAGCTCTTCACTGTATGACGTCTCAACTAAATCTCAGTGGCATCCTGTCTGTGTTTTTGAAGCATCCTGAGCTTTCCTATAGCAGTGAGCGGTGGTCAGGTGCCTTTTGGAGTCTCCCAGAGAGCTTGGTGCAGTGCTCAGCTGCTTTGTAGTGTGAAGGCCTGCAGAGGAAGCCTGTGCTGCCGGAGCTTCCCAGTCCCATGTCAGCTCCAGGCTGCAGCTGGGCACACCGCAGCAAAGGCATCAGCCTTAACTTCTGACAGGGCAAAACTGGGTTCAGTATCGGGGACAGTGAAGTAACGCTGTGTATCTGTCTTGCTTGTGTCCCATCCTGTCCCAAGATCACCATGGTGCTAGGTGTGGGGTTTGTCCTTTTTTCAGGGAGGCAGTCACACACACCTTGTTTCTAAAAGCTGCAGCAGGTGTGTTCTCAGCCAGACGCAGCTGGCAGAAGAGTGGGATTTTATTTTTGTTTTTATTTACTAGTTATTCCTTGCAGAATCTGCTAGTCCAGCACAGGGTCTGCCTGTGTGAAGGGATCTAACTCATGCCTGTGAGTCATGGTAGCCAGTGGCAAATGCAGCTTCTGGCACCCGGTGCATGGAGATGAGTGAGAAGATCTCCAGAGGGAAGTATCTGCTTTCTTATAAGAGTTTCACAGGGCACTGTGGTAGCTGCTCTCAAAGAAACTCTGATTTAGCTAGTTGGTTTTTTTGAGTCATGTGCAGCAGTTCTCTCTAGTCAAACTCTCAAGAGCTGCATCAATCATTGGATTTTTCTAGAGAACAGCTTTTCTTAACCTTCTGTTAAAAAACTAGTGGCTACTTCTGTTCACTAAACTTATTTAGTTTTGAGGGATTTGGGGGGTTTTGTGTGGTTTTAGGGTTTTTTTTAGATGGATGGCAAATATTTCACCCTTCTCCTGTCTCACGCTTTCCCTTCGCCTTTTTTCCTGTCTTTTCCTGGAGGCTGACAGATGAAACTTCAGGCTGATGAAAGCTTTGCTGTTTTACCTCTTTCAGCATTTAAAAAAGTCTTTATAGTGGCAGCTCTTGTATCTCATTCAATGTATATACCTGGCTTGCAGAAATAAAGCTACAGCTCCAGGAAACAGATTGTCCAAAAGCTTTTTCTGTTTCTTTAAAAAAGATTGTGATCAGGAGACGTATATAAATAGTGCTCATGCAGTACTGCACGTGTAGAGTTACTCTGTGCTTGGAAATGTGACCTGTACTGTTCTCTGTGCAGTAGTCAAATTAAAGACAGACTCGTTGTCTTTGCCTTACCTCTGCACTGGTTTGCAGCCACACTACTGGAGTGAGAGTTCCACATCTGGGACTTTGGAGAATAATTGTGTGTAGCTAATTTTAACCAAAAAAAAAATATTGCTGTTGTCAAGGTGATTTTCCTTGTCAAGTTGTCACTTTGTTAATGACCTCATTTTTTAACATTAACATGCGTAGACATCTTTTTCCCGTGTCAGTCAAACCCTCGTCACTGCTGCAGCAGTTGACAGGACAGAGATCCTGGTGCGGGAGGATGGAACAGGCTTAGCATGTGTCAGGTGGGGGGTGTTTGTAAGCCCCGCTGCGTGACAAATGCACGGTAATTTATCCCCATTTGTCTTCTCTTTCAGGTTTTCATCCCATTGTCCCCTTTAAGTTTCTTATTAATAATAACTTGCGTGCAATATTACAGCGTATGTCCTTCTTGATTATTAATAGTCACTGTAAACATATTTTGATGTGGTTGTGCCAGCAGAGGTTTCTGTGAAAGTAATTTTATTTCTATGCATCCATTTGTCTGACAGGCAGCTTCTAAGAAATCAAGAGACAATTACAGTGGTCCTAAATTTAAATACATAATTTTTATCCTTCTCTGTTCTGCAGCATCCAGATGAGAAGAGGCTAGAGGGCCTCTCCAAGCAGCTGGACTGGGATGTACGCAGCATTCAACGTTGGTTTCGGCAAAGGCGCAACCAGGAAAAGCCCAGCACTCTGACGAAGTTCTGCGAGAGCATGTAAGGATGCGTGTTTCCTTCTTGAGTTTTGTTGAGCCTGTCCTCGTCAGTCTTCCCCTTTATTCTTTGCTAGTATTTTTGTAGGTGGCTAGGAAACTCTACGAGTTGGTAGAATGGTAGAATTCTCTTGAATGAGAATAGCAATCTTCTTTCTCCTGAAGGAGTCAGATGGTACTTTTCGTGTAATTTAAGTGGTGAAAAGCTTTCAGAAATCGCGTAGTTTTGATTCTATACTGTCAGGGTGCCAGGCTGATCCTTTGAGACAAATTACCTGGTGTTAGGGTGGGAAGCTATATTTACAGCACAACCTTTAGCTTACAATCTGCCAGAGATTTGAGATGGAGTAATACAAATAAAAACCCCTCCTTTGTTGTTTTATTTTCCTCATCCCATCTCATGGACTTGTACCTGTTACTGGCCCATTTCCTTGGGTGCACTGAACTCTGAGAAGCTAAAGGCACCTAGGCTTTCTTTAGAAAGTTAGTTTTCACCTGCCAGGGTTTACTTCTAAGGAATTATTCCCAGCTGTTCTTCAAACTGATTATCTACGTAAAAGTTGTTTTTCTAATTAGACTCCATTCTTTTTAGTATGTAAGATACATTTCCATGCCAGCTGGATATACTATATTAATACTTAATTTGCACTGAAAGATCATGGAAAATTAAATCTACTTAAAATATTTACATGTTTTGCTTAAAGGAGAACTGATAGACCTTGAATTTGTAACAAAACACAAAGAACAACACTGATTTATTTGAAAGACTCATTCGTTCCAAGACTTGGCCCTCTAGCACTGCTGAATATTTTTCTTTTGATGTGGAAGGTCATGCATTTAAGGAAAATTTGGCATGCTCCAAATCAAGAGACTTGGCAAATATTGCTGAGTCCGTAAACAAATATTAGCTTTATTACACTGTGTTGGTCAAGTAGTTGTGTTACTGTGGGTTAAAACTCTAGTTACTCTTTTTGTTAGCTGGGAAAGAAGTGTTAGGTAGACATGTCAGTGTAAATAGAGGAAGCCTGTTTAAGTTAGAAAGCACATGTTAGTTAATGTTGTTTTCCAAGGTGTGTTTGGGTTTTTGTTGTTTTTTTTATTCCTAAAAATTCTTGAATTGTTTCTTTAGGAAATTGCAAGTAAAAAAATCACAAAACGGAAAGGTGAAAAGTTAAAATTGTATTGCTGTTAGAGTTAGCATATTTGGGTGATATATTTGGCTTCTTCTGTAACTCAGGTCAAAGGCTTCATTCTTGCACTAGGGCCAACGCATCTGGGCTGATGGAGAGGTAGAAGAAACTTAGATATATCATGAGAGAGAGGCAGAGATACGAAAGTCATGGGTGCTGAATTTGCTCCTTTGTGGCATACGTTATGGAACAAGTGTGCAAATGAGAGCTATGAACGCAAACTGGAAGGTAAAGTCAAGCTATAATGATCGTATTTAACTTAAGCTGACAAAATTAAGTGCCAGCTTCATTTAGAGAGAGCCACTGGGCTTTACTTCTGTGTATTTAATAGTAACGATAATACTTCTGCGGAAAGAATTGGTGTAAATAATAAAAAGTGTGTAGTTCAGGTTCTCTCTGCTTGTGGTTTGTAGAAGGTCCGGTGGGAGTAGTCTCTCTGTCTGTATGTACATGCTGCTGTGAGAATGTGGTATTACCCAACAGACCGTGTGTGCAGTGCCCTGGTAGCATTTCCAGTGGTGCAGCGTGTGCCACAAGCGGTCCTGTCACACAGGCTGGGTGGAACTGGTGGCAGGTAGTCCCAATAGCACTGGGAAGCTGGGAATACCCTTTTCTCCCCTCAATCTGTTTATTAAACAGTTGTCTAGTTAAATCTGTCTGTCTGAGTATCTTTGGAGGAAAGAAATCGTTCCTTTTGAGATCTGTAGCTTTTTCACAGCTGTTGAGTTAATGGGGTGGCTTTTCGGATGAAGATTCCATGTGTGGCAGCTGTTTCGGAGCTCTGGGCTGCGTAAAGCACGTGTTCCCCTGACAGCCGTGGGAAGGAGAGTGCTCCTAAGTCTTCAGTCACTGGGGTGGAGAGTTTCGTAGAGCTTCTCCGCTGCCAGAGGAGAGTTTCGTAGCCCTGACAGAGGGTGAAATGTGCCCGTAGGTAATGGGCACACACAGAGCGAGCACAAGGGCAGTGATCCCCACCCACACCTTCAGCTGTCGCGCGGCTGTTGGCCTTTCAGAGAAGACTTCGGTTTTGCTGGCAGCTGTGTTGCTTTACTGTGACTTGGGAGGAAAAGCGACAGAAACCACAGCAAATGTGGAGCTGCTTAAAGAGAGCTTCAACTCTTTTTACATGGGAATGATTCAATTTAATGTTGAAGAAGATTTTCTTGGGCCCAGAGTGTTTTTCTCCATGATGCAAAGGAGGAGGCAGCTGTGCCAGAAGGACTGTAGGCCGTTTCTGACTGCCTTATCTTGCTTGCCAAATGAGTAGTGTGGGTACTATCTAGGGTAGAGAAACTTCAATAGCACAAAGACTGAAACTCAGTGATACGCAAGCTTGGCTGGGATGAATGACACCCAAGATCCGTGCCCAAACAATCATTAGATTGTTGTTGTCCCAGATTCCTTAACGTTCTCTTCACGTTCCTTTCTTTTTCTTTTCATGCAACTTCAGTTGTGGTCCAAAACAGAGTGCAGAGAAACTCCAGAACCTTACACTTTTTAATTTTTTTTATTTTTCAAAATGCAATAATTCCTTTGCTGCCCGCCTTTGTCAGATGTCCTGGGCATTAGCAGATGGTGGTTATATGAAGAAAACGGCAGTAATAAAATCTCTTGTCTATAGACAGCTTGTGCCACAGCATTGCAGTGAAAATAAAATACTCCTCAGGGACCTTAACCAGCAATCACTCCCCCTAGAGTTTTGTGTGTCAATTTGAAAGAGAGGGTGCCATTTGATTGTTGAAGTGGTGGAGACCACTAGGGATGAAACTTCGCACTTCAGTTGCATTATATACCTGTTTAAGATTTCAGATGTTATGGTGATAAGTATCTATGCAAAATTTGATGCTTCATGATCCAGTATTAGTCAGAAAAACAGTAATAAATAGGGTGCTGAGGATTACTGGAAAGTCAATAGTTTTTTTTCTCAAGGATTTGATGATTTTGACATTAAACTTGCAATTAACAGCAGAATATTTTTAGTCATTAAAAAGGGTGTTCACTTCGTTTCAAGTCAGGTCGCAATGCTCAGACCCTTAGCTTAATGTATCAGCTGCAGGGAAGTCTGTCCACAACTTTTCATTCTTTGGTGGGAATTTAGGCAGTTTTGCTCCTTTCCTCAGCTTGAAAGATCCAGGGTGCATAAAGCAGAAGAAAAAGTGGTGAACTGAGTGTGCAGAGTAAGAGTTCTCTACCGTCATGTTGGGTTTTTTTCCTTTCTCTCTGTCCCCATGGCACATTCCTCCTAACATCAATGAAAGACAAACTTTCTCCTGAACAAGGAGAATAAGGGCTTTGTGCTCTGTACTTTGAACGTGCAGCACATGAGAAAATACAAAAAGTGGATTACCTTGAACCTTTTCTGAAGCTGATGTGGTTTCTGTGTTATTCAGGGAGATTATTGGCAGTCCTTTGCAAGGCTAGAAGTTGTTTCTGCAGAGAACTGTCAATCTATTTGTAGGCAGGTGATATAAATTGGATCAAATGCTCTAATGACTCCACTGGAGCATAGTTCTAGCTTAGAAATGTATTTTTTTAAAAAAAGAAAAAAAAAATGAACAAGAAGGTGTCTGACCACAAATAAGTTCCTGAAAATGTGTTAAGGAAGAATGTTGCATCTGAATATAGTGGAATGGAAATTCCAGGTATGAAATGAGCTACTTGGAACAGGGCTTCAAGGTATTATGGGGATGACTGGGAGGATGTAACTCTTGAAAGGCCATGAATGGCGACTTTGATGATTGCCAGGCAGAGTATAGGATCCAAGAATCTCTTTGTTAATGTCTGATATGTCAGAAAGCCAGTGCAGTGGTAATTCTCAAACCCCTTCCAGTTTCTTCTCAGTTTTAGCGTACTGCGCTGCTGCTCACACTACCTGTGTGTAGGCATGTCTGCTTTTCTCAGAGAATTTTTTTGAAAGAGCAAGCGTCCTGTCCGCTTCCCTTGTGGTGCAAAGCAAAGGGAAAGAACCTGTGATGCCTGGGACTTTCGGATGTCATCAGGCTCATGCCTTGTGTGCCCTACAGCTCTGTACATTTAAGCAAGCTGTTTGTTAGAGACATTCTCGTGGTTTCCAAGGAGTGGCTGTCAGAAACATATGGCCAAGGGAGTTTTTTGAGTTTGTGCAACAGTCACATGTGAAAACATGGATATGTGCAGACTGAAGAGCCAAAGATTTTTTTTTTTCTTTCCCCTCATTCTTCTCTAGGAGAAGCTTGGATACTAAATTATCTGTAAGTGGGGTGTTCTTTTAGTTTTGATGTAGGGGAGAGAAGAGTGTCTGTCTCATCTCCACACCAGAACATTTTCCCTCCCCCCTAAGGAATTGAGACTGTATTTATGCACGTTGCTTTTGGGAAGATATTGTATGTCTGTGGCTGTATACGTTTATATGTGTGTGTTTGTGTAAGCATATGGAGACAGATGTATTCAGAATATATTTTTTTATTTGTCAGGCAAATTTGTCTTAAAATATTATGAGAAGTTTGCAACTACTTGGACATATTGTTTTTCTCTACTACAAGAGTAATTCTCTGCTACAAAATCATACTGAAAAAATAGCTATGTAAGGGAAAGAAAATAAGACAGCTGCTTGGTTGCTGAAATTCTGAACTATGCTGATACAAATCTTAACAAAGAGCATAAAAGAATTCATCAGTCTGTACTTTTTGTGTAGCAGCAAAGCACTAGAAAATAAATACACATCAAAAACTTCTAGCTCTGAATTTTTAATGGCCTGAGGCCCTCTTAAGTCAGCTTCTAAAACACTGCTGGATAAAGTGATCCCTGAGATGCAAGCAAAACTATGTGGTAAATG